TAACCATATCAGATAGTTACCAGGGTACGTTCCGGTATACCGGACCGTACCCAGGGTACGTTCCGGCAGTACCCTGGGGGACATAGACCCTATGAGGACTACTACCACTGCCACTACTACTAGGCTACTATGGCTACTAATGCTGCTACTGCTGCTACTGCTGCTATTCTCACTACTGCTACTATTGTCACAAGGGCTTCTACTATTACTACTTATTACTATTATTACTATTATTACTATTATTACTATTCTACTATTACTACTTTTACAATAATACAAGGATATCCTGTTACTAACATAAAATTTTCTGTCTCGGTATATTCATTTCTATATAAAACACTTTGTACACACCTTCTAATCCATTGTTTTTTCTCTTTTCAAATTAAGGCTAATATAATACACGGAACTCGCTTAATACGATTATTTTTGTTTGGCCCGTCAGTTTCGTACTAACGGGGTGCGACTGTAGTAATGAATTGTAGTAATTGAATGAGGTGTTTAGGCTTTGCAGTAATTGTATCTATTTGTGAACAATTTAACGTTACTAAAGTTCTTAATTATACATATAACCCTATATAAAACACTTTGTACACACCTTGTGATCCATAATTTTTTCTTTGTTAATTCGGTGCTAATATATGTTGAAATGGTTAATGCGAAACCCGCTTAATACAATTATGTTTCTTTGGCCCGTCAGTTTTCTACTAACGGAGTTTGACTGTAGTAATGATTCTTGAAAAAATGTAGGCAAACGCTTCGCAGTAATGGTTTATATACTCCGCACGTGGTGTAGGGGAACGTATTGTTTTCGCGCCGTTTGTGTGTGCGTGTGTGCGTGTGTGTGTGTGTGTGTGTGTCTGTGTGTCTGTGTGTGCGCGCGTGCGCGCGTGTGCGTGTGCGTGTGTCTGTCTGTCTGCTCGATATTTTTGCAACCGTTAGAGGTAGAAACTTCAAACTTTGTCCAGAGGTGGACCTTAGGGGGCGGTAGAACCCTATTGATTTTGAGCAGGGGCGGCGCCAGGGTATTTTGCTAGGGGGGCGAAACCAGGTGCGTGTACTGGAGCACGCGAAGGGGGGGTCTGGGGGCTGTCCCCCATATTTTTTTTAAAATTAGACCCCCTCAGATGCGTTTTCTGCGCGAGTAGGGGGGGTCCGGATC